CTTACATGCATGGCCAGCAACACACTCACAAGCATGGCAACATGTTGCAAAAGTGTATTCGCCAATGATGAACGCGAGGAGGACAAGGAGGAACAACCGATGGTTCTTGCGGCCTGGTTGCATTGCAAGACACAAAGAATACCTCTTAGGAGCCTCAAAAGTCATTGCAAGGAGCATGCACAGTCAGTCACGATGGCACCCAGACAGGCAAACGCCACAGCAGAAGCAAGGCATTGTGTCACAATGCAAGAAGGTCAATGCAAGAAGCACACAAGCCTTAAGAAGCACACAAGCCTTGGGAAGCACACAAGCCTTAGGAAGCACACAAGCCTTAGGAAGCACACAAGCCTTAGGAAGCACACAAGTCTTAAGAAGCACACAAGCCTTAAGAAGCACACAAGCCTTAAGTAGCACACAAGCCTTAGGAAGCACGCAAGCCTTAGGAAGCATGTGAATTTACCTTCAGACATCCACATGCAGCACAACCACATGCGTGTGAGTGCTGCTATGCTTGTAAGCACGTAAACAACGAAGCAAGCACAAGAGCTTGCATCATGATCAGTGTGCGCCCTCACCAGCAAGCAACCCATGATATGACACTCACCTAGAACTAAGGCCCTCCTATAACGAGTCGTACCTACCCACACAGGTGCCTAAAGCGGGGCAGTGGTGGTCGTATCTGTCCACGCACCGCTCGCACTTCCAGCAGTGTCGCGACCGCGCCCACCGCCAGACCTGAAAGGAGAAACATCAAAAGTGGGGGGGGGGGGGGGGGGGAGAGGGGGGGGTGTATACGAAAACAGAGAGGCGGTGATGGTCTTATCCGTGAACACACTGGTCGCACTTCCAGCAGTGCTGTGACCGCGCCCACCGCCAGTTCTGAATGCACACAAGGGTGGGGGCATCAATCACAGCGGTTCTGGCATCAATCACAACACAATTCTGGTATCAATCACAGCGGTTCTGGCATCAATCACAACACGGTTCTGGTATCAATCACAGCAGTTCTGGTATCAATCACAGCAGTTCTGGTATCAATCACAGCAGTTCTGGTATCAATCACAGCGGTTCTTGTATCAATCACAGCAGTTCTGGTATCAATCACAGCAGTTCTGGTATCAATCACAGCGGTTCTGGTATCAATCACAGCGGTTCTGGTATCAATCACAGCGGTTCTGGTATCAATCACAGCGGTTCTGGCATCAATCACAACACGGTTCTGGTATCAATCACAGCAGTTCTGGTATCAATCACAGCAGTTCTGGTATCAATCACAGCAGTTCTGGTATCAATCACAGCGGTTCTGGTATCAATCACAGCAGTTCTGGTATCAATCACAGCAGTTCTGGTATCAATCACAGCGGTTCTGGTATCAATCACAGCGGTTCTGGTATCAATCACAGCGGTTCTGGTATCAATCACAGCGGTTCTGGCATGAAACACAACTTCCCACCCATTATTACCCACAAAGTATTTGCCTGGCCCTCAAACAAGCCCCCGTACTACTCACATGGCACACGTGGCAGTAGTTGCTTGGTTTCCAGAACCAGGACCACCACCACGGCTGCTGCTGCTGCTGCTGCTGTTGTTGTTGTTGTGTTATCTGCATGTCCTCCCCATCCGTCTCCGGTTGTCCCTCCCTTTGCAGCAACAGCTGCGACTCCACATCAGCACGGGTGCTTGCTTCCCTGCAGGCTGCTTCCCCAGTGGCCGGACCTGGTTACAAATAAGAGGGAGAGAGAAGTGCCTTGGCACCGCTCTTACACCTCATTCATCCGCTGGCGAGGAGCAAAGGAACGAAAGAATGAATGAAAGAAGAAAGAAAGAGAGAAAACACAGAAAACAAATTGCATAAACAAAGAGAATTAATCATGCAAAATGTTGAAGTATAGGCAAGGGAGATGGGCTACTAGGAGTTCCTATGGCAGCGCTTGCCTGATTCCCGCGGCTGGATGGAGCCATTTAATGGCTCCTGGCCAGCTGGCAGTGGCACACAGCCGATGCCATCCTGACCGGAGGGAGTCAGAGACAGTGGGGAATGGGAACGGAGGAGGGGGCGCAAGGATTGGAGGAGGGGGCACAGGGATTAGACGGGGGAGGCGCAAGGATGAGAGAAGGGGGTGCAAAAGACAAGGATATATTTCTGCTCAGCTTTCCATTAAGGAGAGAGGGAGGGCAGAAGAGGAGAGACGGCTGCCATAAAAATTTCCAGGGCTGTGAGGTCGCAATTTAGTGGAGCCATGGGAAGTTGGCCTCGACAGAGCATACATGATAAATTCGTCTGCAATGAGTCTGTTTTTGAGTCTACTCAAAAAAAGGCTCTTTATACACTCTTCAATGGAGCCATGGGAAGTTGGCCGGGAAAAAACGTACATGTTGAATTCGCGTCCCGAATACACAGCATAGCATGCTGCATACCTCATCCAGACGTTCAGCTGCAGCCACATTCGTTCCCACCACAACCACTCCTTGTTGCTCGACCTGCTGCTGCTGCTGCTGCTGCTGCTGCTGCTGCTGCTGCTGCTGCTGCTGCTGCTGCTGCTGCCGTGCTTCCCATTCCCCCACCTGCTTGTACCATTGTTGCCATTGGTCCTCCGACTGCTGTCCCTGCCCCTGTTGTGGCTGCTGCTGGTGCTGCTGGTACTGCTGCTGGAGCTGCTGGTGCTGCTCTTGCTGCTGCGACATTCCTTTATGCTGCATCTCTTGGTCGCCCTGCTGCCGTCCCACCTGCTGGCGTCCTTGCACGCCTCCCTGCATCTCTACCGCTTGCATCCCTATCGCCCGATCCCCTGCTGCACCTGCTGCTGCTGCTGCTGTGGCGCCCCGTAACCTGGGGGGGGGTCGCCCTTGGGAATGAACCCAGGATCCGTGTGGTAGGTGCTGGGGGAGGGGGGAGAGACGGCGGAAAGAGAAGGAGAAGGGATGTGAGAATTGGAGAAGCGGTGTGAAAAGAGTGCATGTCATTGTGCTGCCTCATCTCACCGCCTGACGGGGGATCGCCCTTGGGAATGAACCCGGGATCCGTGTGGTAGGTGCTGGGGTGGGGGGAGGGACACGAGGGACAGCGCAGGAGGTGGGCCGTGAGAATAGGAGAATGTGAGGACGGCACACGCCATGTTGCAGGGGGGGAGCGGGGGGATTGCAGGGGTTATGCTGGTGTAGAAGCGGGATGACCATTTCAGTCAATGAAATGAAATGAGATGCGGAAACGCGAACGATGAGTGGGGCTCACAGAAAGTATAGTGGGAAGGTGATGGCAGCAGTGGCGTGCACGAGGGCAGAGAGGCGAGGAGAGGTGCCTGAGAGGACAGGAAGGGTGGATAGAAGCATAGGCAAGAGGTGCAACTTGCAAGGAGGACATGAGGACGCTAGGAGGACGCAAGGAGGATGCAAGGAGGATGCAAGGAGGATGCAAGGAGGATGCAAGGAAGGCGCTGATGGAAGAGACGAGGGAGGGGACGCTGAGGCGATATGAGAGAGGGGCTTGGCAATGCTCATTACTAGTTGCTGCAGGGAACACACACACACACACACTCACTCACTCGCTCACTCACTCACTCACGGTGTCTGAGGGGCACCACGAAGGCCCATATGAGAGGGCGTTGATGGCGGCGATGAGAGAAGGGAAGACGAGGCGATATTAGAGGGGGGCTTGGCTTGGGTCATTAGTAGGTGCTACAGGGAACACTCCCTTACGGTGTCTGAGGAGCAAGAGGAAGGTCCCGTAGGAGAGGCCGTTGATGGCGGAGATGAGAGAGGGGAAGAAGAAGCGCGACAAGATGATGGTCTTGGTGAGGGTTCTGCCCAGCAGGGCCCACACGGCGATGGGAGCTACTGCACATGTGTGAATGAGCACAAAGCATGAGGACGTGTGTGAGCATGCGCGCATGAGAGAGGGGACGAAGGAAGAGGAGATGAGATGAAGGCCCTTGTGACGGCCCTTGTGACGGCTCTGCCCAGGGGGCCCAAGCTGACGATGGGAGCGAGTGGCAAGGTGAAGACGAACATGCACATGGACATGATGGGGCATCAGAATGAGCATGAGCATGGGCATGGGCATGGGCATGGGCATGGGCAAGGGCATGGGCATGGGCATGGGCATGGGCATGCGCATGGGCATGGGCATGGGCATGGGCAAGGGCATGGGCATGGGCATGGGCATGGGGTAAAGCCAAGCCTCCCTTCCAGCACGTACAGTCACACGCATTCTATCACGAGCAGAAGCGTGGATTTACAACGAATTTAGTCAACGACCGGAATCACGCATCGCCATCGACCCTCGAACAGCAGCGAAACGCCCGTTACCAGCAAAGCACGGAGATTCATTACCGACGAACAGCTGCGAAGGTACGCGAAACCAGCGAACAGCAGGGAACCCGTTACCAGCAAATAGCAGAGTCTCGTGAATAGTCCCTCGCTTGCACGCCTCTACAATCCCCGTCACCATCAGGAAAAACCACGTCGGCAAGATCCATGGCAGTAGATGCGGCCACGTGGCTCTTAACGAGGCAGGCAATAACGAGGACAACGGCCTCGCCATCCTCGCTGTAGGCTAGATGCTAACCGCGAGTGAACCAGGCGACTTTGAGAGTAAGCGATGACATTCTAACGGCTAGTTTGATCAGAGCGAAGGCTGGCTTCGGCGACAGTGGATTTGGAGTCCTCGTGGCTGGCAATTTGCACCACTGTCCGCGTTGTTGAAGCCCCGGATCCGTTCTCATTGAAATAAAACAAATGATTTATTGGTGTCGAAACCAAACCAGTCTTTCAAATGTGTTTCTTCTGCAAGGTATGTTTGCTGCAGAATCAAGATTCTAGCATAGAAGAAACAAAATCTCACATTTACGTACTGAGATCTCCTGCATTCTGCATGCAAAGTGTTACACCCAACCTCGCATCCTTCGCCAACAGTTTCGAGGAGCCCACATTTCCCCTGACACCACTGCCGCTACCAATGCTGCCTGCTTCTCGGGCGTGAAGGGGGTTCTTGAATTGCAGCCAGATTCCAGTCATGGAATAGCATTCGCTACTTCCGCCCTTCAATTTGGTCCCACCCAGGTTCCTTAGGAGTCGTAGCAACACCGTATTTCCGTGACGCGACCGCGCAGCCCTGTGTTTAACATCGGATTTTCCGTGCCACGGGGCCTCAAAAGTCGCCCTTTTTTTCTGTAGGTTGTCAGAGGATCTACAAGTCGCCATTTTTAGGGGCGAGTCGTGTCAGAGCCCGATTGGCACGTTCTTTGAATCAACTCAAGAAACATCTCCACGGCTTTTAGGCGTCTAGGGCGTGTTCAGTGCCCGGCTGGCGCATCCGAAGTGCATTTCGACGCTGCTGCGCGTACATTCTCTGTAGTTCCCCGCAGTGTTCCGTAGTACTTCCCCTTTCGTTCGTCGTTCGTCCTGGCGCCATGATGCTAACCCTCTCAGCAACGCCAGTGTCGTCGGCCGTTGCGTTATGCACGAGCTCTCTCCCCTCGACGCCACCCCTTACCGCAAGAAGCCGCCTTCTGCGCGGTGCACTGCGCGCGAGCGACCGACTTCGGTGGAACCGGAGCTGCGCGCTCCATCGCGGGAGCGCAACATGCGCGCGTGCTTCCGCCGAGACGGGTGGTGATGGTGCGGAGACTGCTAGCAGCCCGTCGCAGGGGAATGTGACTATTGTGAAAGATAGGGAAGGGGAACCGGGAGCGAGGGGCGCTGGGCCGGAAGCGGAGGGGGGCGAGGCGGAGAACAGGCGGGGAGGGGATGAACGAGCGAGTGGGGAAGCGAGTGAGGGAGCGAGTGAGGGAGCGAGTGAGGGAGGGAGTGAGAGGGAGAGGGGGCTGTACACTGAGTTTGTGGAGTACTGCGTAGAGGCCATGGGCCAACACATGCCGCTCACTCCTGTTCCGATACGGGTAAGTAAGCATGCAGGCTTGAATCGAGTATATGCTGTTCTGAGCAACGTAGGGAGAGAGGATAACTCGGGGTTCGTGATGGCGTGACGAGAGTGGTCTTGGGTCAATGGAAAAGGCTAGGTTTCTCTTCTCTCCTGCCCCCAGCCCGACTGGCATATGCTGGAGGGCGGCAGCCCTGACGGCGAAGGCGGCAGGGTCTTGACGGATGTTCTCCTCTGCCCTCTCAAGTGAAATCTCCTCTTTTTCCATTCCCCTCCACCCCCCCCCCCCATGTTTCCCACCAGCCCGACTGGCAGGTGCTAGAGGGCAGTGACGGCGAGGGTGGCATGGCACACTGCCGCAGTGTGGCGGTGCATGCACCTAAGATCCGCCTCATGCGGTCTGCCGATATCAGCGCTGGGAGAACGCTGCAGGTGCGCACCCCCCAGTTCAGCCTGCGAGCAGCTGGTGGTGAGAAGCGGCGGCAGTATGGCATGGCATGGCATACTGCCGTAGTGTGGCTGGGTAGGCGCCTAAGATCCGCTTGATGCGGTCTGGGATATCTGTGCTGGTCCCAACAGCGCAGGTGAGAGCTGGTGTATGTTGCAACAGTGCAGGGGAGAGCTGGTGTATGTTACAACAGTGCAGGGGAGAGCTGGTGCATGTTACAACAGTGCAGGGGAGAGCTGGTGCATGTTACAACAGTGCAGCTGAGAGCTGTTGCATGTTCCAACAGTGCAGGGGAGAGCTGGTGTAGGTTCCAATAGTGCAGGGGAGAGCTGGTGTAGGTTCCAACAGTGCAAGGGAGAGCTGGTGTAGGTTCCAATAGTGCAGGGGAGAGCTGGTGTAGGTTCCAACAGTGCAAGGGAGAGCTGGTGTAGGTTCCAACAGTGCAAGGGAGAGCTGGTGTAGGTTCTAACAGTGCAGGGGAGAGCTGCAACTCTACCCTCCCCTGGCCTCCATCACTGCCTCACCTATTTCTGTTTTGAGGTGCCTTCAAATGCAAATCCATCATATCCCTCCCATCCTAAGCCCTTCATATCCCTCCCATCCCAAGCCCTTCATATCCCTCCCAACCTAACCCCTTCATATCCCTCCCAACCTAAGCCCTTCATATCCCTCCCATCCTAAGCCCTTCATATCCCTCCCAACCTAAGCCCTTCATATCCCTCCCAACCTAAGCCCTTCATATCCCTCCCAACCTAAGCCCTTCATATCCCTCCCATCCTAAGCCCTTCATATCTCTCCCATCCTAAGCCCTTCATATCCCTCCCATCCTAAGCCCTTCATATCCCTCCCATCCTAAGCCCTTCATATCCCTCCCACCCTAAGTCCTTCATATCCCTCCCATCCTAAGCCCTTCATATCCCTCCCATCCTAAGCCCTTCATATCCCTCCCATCCTAAGCCCTTCATATCCCTCCCATCCTAAGCCCTTCATATCCCTCCCAACCTAAGCCCTTCATATCCCTCCCATCCTAAGCCCTTCATATCCCTCCCATCCTAAGCCCTTCATATCCCTCCCATCCTAAGCCCTTCATATCCCTCCCATCCTAAGCCCTTCATATCCCTCCCATCCTAAGCCCTTCATATCCCTCCCATCCTAAGCCCTTCATATCCCTCCCATCCTAAGCCCTTCATATCCCTCCCATCCTAAGCCCTTCATATCCCTCCCATCCTAAGCCCTTCATATCCCTCCCATCCTAAGCCCTTCATATCCCTCCCATCCTAAGCCCTTCATATCCCTCCCAACCTAAGCCCGTCATATCCCTCCCATCCTAAGCCCTTCATATCCCTCCCATCCTAAGCCCTTCATATCCCTCCCATCCTAAGCCCTTCATATCCCTCCCATCCTAAGCCCTTCATATCCCTCCCATCCTAAGCCCTTCATATCCCTCCCATCCTAAGCCCTTCATATCCCTCCCAACCTAAGCCCGTCATATCCCTCCCAACCTAAGCCCTTCATATCCCTCCCATCCTAAGCCCTTCATATCCCTCCCATCCTAAGCCCTTCATATCCCTCCCAACCTAAGCCCTTCATATCCCTCCCATCCTAAGCCCTTCATATCCCTCCCAACCTAAGCCCTTCATATCCCTCCCATCCTAAGCCCTTCATATCCCTCCCAACCTAAGCCCTTCATATTCCTCCCAACCTAAGCCCTTCATATCCCTCCCATCCTAAGCCCTTCATATCCCTCCCATCCTAAGCCCTTCATATCCCTCCCATCCTAAGCCCTTCATATCCCTCCCATCCTAAGCCCTTCATATCCCTCCCAACCTAAGCCCTTCATATCCCTCCCATCCTAAGCCCTTCATATCCCTCCCAACCTAAGCCCTTCATATCCCTCCCAACCTAAGCCCTTCATATCCCTCCCATCCTAAGTCCTTCATATCCCTCCCAACCTTAGCCCTTCATATCCCTCCCATCCTAAGCCCTTCATATCCCTCCCATCCTAAGCCCTTCATATCCCTCCCATCCTAAGCCCTTCATATCCCTCCCATCCTAAGCCCTTCATATCCCTCCCATCCTAAGCCCTTCATATCCCTCCCATCCTAAGCCCTTCATATCCCTCCCATCCTAAGCCCTTCATATCCCTCCCATCCTAAGCCCTTCATATCCCTCCCATCCTAAGCCCTTCATATCCCTCCCATCCTAAGCCCTTCATATCCCTCCCAACCTAAGCCCTTCATATCCCTCCCATCCTAAGCCCTTCATATCCCTCCCAACCTAAGCCCTTCATATCCCTCCCAACCTAAGCCCTTCATATCCCTCCCATCCTAAGCCCTTCATATCCCTCCCATCCTAAGCCCTTCATATCCCTCCCATCCGAAGCCCTTCATATCCCTCCCAACCTAAGCCCTTCATATCCCTCCCATCCTAAGCCCTTCATATCCCTCCCATCCTAAGCCCTTCATATCCCTCCCATCCTAAGCCCTTCATATCCCTCCCATCCTAAGCCCTTCATATCCCTCCCATCCTAAGCCCTTCATATCCCTCACATCTTAAGCCCTTCATATCCCTCCCATCCTAAGCCCTTCATATCCCTCCCATCCTAAGCCCTTCATATCCCTCCCATCCTAAGCCCTTCATATCCCTCCCATCCTAAGCCCTTCATATCCCTCCCAACCTAAGCCCTTCATATCCCTCCCATCCTAAGCCCTTCATATCCCTCCCAACCTAAGCCCTTCATATCCCTCCCATCCTAAGCCCTTCATATCCCTCCCAACCTAAGCCCTTCATATTCCTCCCAACCTAAGCCCTTCATATCCCTCCCATCCTAAGCCCTTCATATCCCTCCCATCCTAAGCCCTTCATATCCCTCCCATCCTAAGCCCTTCATATCCCTCCCATCCTAAGCCCTTCATATCCCTCCCAACCTAAGCCCTTCATATCCCTCCCATCCTAAGCCCTTCATATCCCTCCCAACCTAAGCCCTTCATATCCCTCCCAACCTAAGCCCTTCATATCCCTCCCATCCTAAGTCCTTCATATCCCTCCCAACCTAAGCCCTTCATATCCCTCCCATCCTAAGCCCTTCATATCCCTCCCATCCTAAGCCCTTCATATCCCTCCCATCCTAAGCCCTTCATATCCCTCCCATCCTAAGCCCTTCATATCCCTCCCATCCTAAGCCCTTCATATCCCTCCCATCCTAAGCCCTTCATATCCCTCCCATCCTAAGCCCTTCATATCCCTCCCATCCTAAGCCCTTCATATCCCTCCCATCCTAAGCCCTTCATATCCCTCCCATCCTAAGCCCTTCATATCCCTCCCAACCTAAGCCCTTCATATCCCTCCCATCCTAAGCCCTTCATATCCCTCCCAACCTAAGCCCTTCATATCCCTCCCAACCTAAGCCCTTCATATCCCTCCCATCCTAAGCCCTTCATATCCCTCCCATCCTAAGCCCTTCATATCCCTCCCATCCTAAGCCCTTCATATCCCTCCCAACCTAAGCCCTTCATATCCCTCCCATCCTAAGCCCTTCATATCCCTCCCATCCTAAGCCTTCATATCCCTCCCATCCTAAGCCCTTCATATCCCTCCCATCCTAAGCCCTTCATATCCCTCCCATCCTAAGCCCTTCATATCCCTCCCATCCTAAGCCCTTCATATCCCTCCCAACCTAAGCCCTTCATATCCCTCCCAACCTAAGCCCTTCATATCCCTCCCATCCTAAGCCCTTCATATCCCTCCCAACCTAAGCCCTTCATATCCCTCCCATCCTAAGCCCTTCATATCCCTCCCATCCTAAGCCCTTCATATCCCTCCCAACCTAAGCCCTTCATATCCCTCCCATCCTAAGCCCTTCATATCCCTCCCAACCTAAGCCCTTCATATCCCTCCCATCCTAAGCCCTTCATATCCCTCCCAACCTAAGCCCTTCATATTCCTCCCAACCTAAGCCCTTCATATCCCTCCCATCCTAAGCTCTTCATATCCCTCCCATCCTAAGCCCTTCATATCCCTCCCATCCTAAGCCCTTCATATCCCTCCCATCCTAAGCCCTTCATATCCCTCCCAACCTAAGCCCTTCATATCCCTCCCATCCTAAGCCCTTCATATCCCTCCCAACCTAAGCCCTTCATATCCCTCCCAACCTAAGCCCTTCATATCCCTCCCATCCTAGGTCCTTCATATCCCTCCCAACCTAAGCCCTTCATATTCCTCCCAACCTAAGCCCTTCATATCCCTCCCATCCTAAGCCCTTCATATCCCTCCCATCCTAAGCCCTTCATATCCCTCCCATCCTAAGCCCTTCATATCCCTCCCATCCTAAGCCCTTCATATCCCTCCCATCCTAAGCCCTTCATATCCCTCCCATCCTAAGCCCTTCATATCCCTCCCATCCTAAGCCCTTCATATCCCTCCCATCCTAAGCCCTTCATATCCCTCCCATCCTAAGCCCTTCATATCCCTCCCATCCTAAGCCCTTCATATCCCTCCCATCCTAAGCCCTTCATATCCCTCCCACCCTAAGTCCTTCATATCCCTCCCATCCTAAGCCTTCATATCCCTCCCATCCTAAGCCCTTTATATCCCTCCCATCCTAAGCCCTTCATATCCCTCCCATCCTAAGCCCTTCATATCCCTCCCAACCTAAGCCCTTCATATCCCTCCCATCCTAAGCCCTTCATATCCCTCCCATCCTAAGCCCTTCATATCCCTCCCATCCTAAGCCCTTCATATCCCTCACATCTTAAGCCCTTCATATCCCTCCCATCCTAAGCCCTTCATATCCCTCCCATCCTAAGCCCTTCATATCCCTCCCATCCTAAGCCCTTCATATCCCTCCCAACCTAAGCCCTTCATATTCCTCCCAACCTAAGCCCTTCATATCCCTCCCATCCTAAGCTCTTCATATCCCTCCCATCCTAAGCCCTTCATATCCCTCCCATCCTAAGCCCTTCATATCCCTCCCATCCTAAGCCCTTCATATCCCTCCCAACCTAAGCCCTTCATATCCCTCCCATCCTAAGCCCTTCATATCCCTCCCAACCTAAGCCCTTCATATCCCTCCCAACCTAAGCCCTTCATATCCCTCCCATCCTAGGTCCTTCATATCCCTCCCAACCTAAGCCCTTCATATCCCTCCCATCCTAAGCCCTTCATATCCCTCCCATCCTAAGCCCTTCATATCCCTCCCACCCTAAGTCCTTCATATCCCTCCCATCCTAAGCCCTTCATATCCCTCCCATCCTAAGCCCTTCATATCCCTCCCATCCTAAGCCCTTCATATCCCTCCCATCCTAAGCCCTTCATATCCCTCCCAACCTAAGCCCTTCATATCCCTCCCATCCTAAGCCCTTCATATCCCTCCCATCCTAAGCCCTTCATATCCCTCCCATCCTAAGCCCTTCATATCCCTCACATCCTAAGCCCTTCATATCCCTCCCATCCTAAGCCCTTCATATCCCTCCCATCCTAAGCCCTTGATATCCCTCCCATCCTAAGCCCTTCATATCCCTCCCATCCTAAGCCCTTCATATCCCTCCCAACCTAAGCCCTTCATATCCCTCCCATCCTAAGCCCTTCATATCCCTCCCATCCTAAGCCCTTCATATCCCTCCCATCCTAAGCCCTTCATATCCCTCCCATCCTAAGCCCTTCATATCCCTCCCATCCTAAGCCCTTCATATCCCTCCCAACCTAAGCCCTTCATATCCCTCCCAACCTAAGCCCTTCATATCCCTCCCATCCTAAGCCCTTCATATCCCTCCCATCCTAAGCCCTTCATATCCCTCCCAACCTAAGCCCTTCATATTCCTCCCAACCTAAGCCCTTCATATCCTCTTCCATCCTAAGCCCTTCATATCCCTCCCATCCTAAGCCCTTCATATCCCTCCCATCCTAAGCCCTTCATATCCCTCCCAACCTAAGCCCTTCATATCCCTCCCAACCTAAGCCCTTCATATCCCTCCCATCCTAAGCCCTTCATATCCCTCCCATCCTAAGCCCTTCATATCCCTCCCATCCTAAGCCCTTCATATCCCTCCCATCCTAAGCCCTTCATATCCCTCCCAACCTAAGCCCTGGGCCGTACCCATGACGGCCCCCACCCTCGTTCTGGCTCGTATTGACCGTTCAAGGCGCTCAACCTGATTGCCCTCCCAAGCCCCGAGTACGACCTCCCCGTCAGTCCACTTATCCCCTTCAACACCCGCCCCCTTCAACACCCGCCCCCTTCAACACCCGTCCCCCCACCTTCCATCTCCCTTCGTTGCAGGTGCTCAACCTTATTGCCTTCCCCCGCCCCGAGTACGACCTGCCCTACTTCTGTGCTGACCTTGTCACCTTCCCCAGAGGCCACCTCATCGTGCTGTGAGTTGGGGGCGTGGGGAATGTGGTAACCACTATGGGGAGACCACTGGCAGATGAGATGTAACAAGCAGCAGGAGCTTAGCAGCTGTGCTGACCTGGTCACCTTCACCAGAGCCCACCTGATCGAGCTGTGAGTGATGGGTAGTCAGGAGCTTGGGGGAAGGTACCAGCAAGTCTATCCTCGGTACTCAACGGTACTCGATGGTACTTAACGGTAACGGTACTCAGCCATACTTCTGTGCTAACATGGTGGCGTATTAATGTGTCTTATGTTTACTTTTGTACCAATTTTATATTGACGCAATGTGCTGTGTTTTTTGTCTTGCTCTGCCATGCTGCATCTATCTCTGTCCGTATCGAACCTTCTTGTATTCCCTCCTCCTCCCCCCCCCTCCCTTTCCCCCTTCCCCCCTCCCTTTCCCCTCCCCCCCTCGCAGAGATCTCAATCCCTTGCATCAGAGCGAGGAGCACTTCAACAAGTACATCGCACCCGTCATGCCCATTGCCAACAAATACATCAAGGTACTGTGCGGTGGTGAGTGGTGCTGTGTGGTGCTGTGTGGTGCTGTGAGGTGGTGTGGGCATTTGAACGTGTACATTGCACCTACGATGCTCATTGCCAGCAAGTATACTCAGGTACTGTGCTGTGCTGTGCGGTAGTGTGCATGTGCAGTGCGGTGCTGGTTGCAATGCAAACTGCGTCACTCCAATTACTCTCCCAGGTGCTCTTCTGGGCAGAGCTGCTGCGCCTGAAGCCTCTCGTCTGCCCCCTCCCTTTTTCTCTGCTATTTTTTTTCCGGCTTCCTCCAGCACCTGCCTGGAGGTGGAGAGTGCACAGCGGACTCTCTCCAGTTCTTACCTTTGAGGGTTTTCTAACCTCCCTCCCCTTCTGTTTCCATTGCGCGCTCGCTCTCCGCCTCCCCCCTGTCACTCCCCGACCACCGTCACCTGCCGTGGGGCGGCGAGTTCACAGCGGAATCACTGCAGTTCTTCTCCCCTGCTGGTGCACGCACCCATCTCTTCCCCTCTGACCCCATACCCCCCCCAACCCCCAACCCCCACCCCCCAACCAGCACCTGCCGTGGGGCGGCGAGTTCACAGCAGAGTCCCTGCAGTTCTTCTCCCCGGCTCTCATCTGGGCCAAGCTGCCTCTGGATGCTGACGTCACAGCCCATGTGCTGCCCGCTTTCAAGGAGTACCTGCATGTGAGACGGGTGGGGTGTGCTTAAAAGGAATGCTGATTGTACACAAGGCCACTATATCGAGTGTGATTGTTTTTCCAGTACTTCCCGTGTGCTGCCCGCTTTCAAGGGATACCTGCATGTGAGATTGGTGTGATTACAGACAATGTTATTATAGGGGTTGGATCTATGGGGTTGTGACCTCAGGGGCTGGATGTAGACTTGTACTCTCCGCGACACACCTGGAGTGTGATTCCAGGGAATGTGACTCTATGGCAAGTGACTTAAAGCGCGGATTTCGAAACCCCCCAACTCAAAAACTTAGGTTTTGACTCGGGGGGCATTTTGGCTGGGGGTCAAAACCTTAGCTTTTGACTTAAGGGGGTTTCGAGATCATCGCTTTAAAGCCCGAGTCTAGAATGGTAGAAAGCCATGATTACTGACCATGAAAACAGTGCCAAACAAACTGGGCGAAAGTAATTTCGGCCGAGTTCCTCTGACGAACAAAGATTCTGTCGAAATCGCAGAACCGTGATCGCATCACGGAAATTCTTCCACAAGAACTGAGGTCAACAGTGCGTGAACAGTGCGGGGGGCGGGGGTTGGGGGGGAACAAACAGTGACGCGAGACCCTCAGAAAAATGCGTTCAGAATGGTCGCAGGCAAAACTCAAGTATACTGGGATGAACAGTGACGGGGTGCTTGTCTTATTCAGTGGCAGTCGCAAGCTACCCCTCGTTTTCCGTGAGTTGCGACGTTTTTCCTGTTTGTACCGCGATACCCCGATCTTCATTTGACGAGAAACAAATCAGGCTTCCTGATCTTGATAGCAAACCATTCTGAGCTCGGGCTTTATAAAGGTGGCAGCCCACCAGGGGTCTTCTAAGTTGATCAAAATGCTGCCTTCATCCTGTCCACCCTCTCACCGATGCTCCCCCTCTCCCCCTTCTTCCCCCCTCCCCCACTCCCCCCCTCTCCCCCTTCTTCCCCCTCCCCCCTCTCCCCCTCTCCCCCTTCTTCCCCACTCCCCCCCTCTCCCCCTTCTTCCCCACTCTCCCCCTTCTTCCCCACTCCCCCCCTCTCCCCCTTCTTCCCCACTCCCCCCCTCCCCCCTCTCCCCCTTCTTCCCCACTCCCCCCTCCCCCCCTCTCCCCCTTCTTCCCCACTCCCCCCCTCCCCCCTCTTCCCCTTCTTCCCCACTCCCCCCTCCCCCTCTCCCTTCTTCCCCACTCCCCCCTCCCCCCTCTCCCCTTCTCCCCACTCCCCCCCTCTCCCCCTCTCCCCCTTCTCCCCCGCCCCTGCATGCAATGCACGGCTACTATTGGTGGAAGCATGGAAGGCGAGCCCACTGCTGACCCTGCACTCTTGTTCCGCCCCTTCTCCCCCACCCCTCCCTCCTCTCTCTCAAGCGGTCCGTTTATTGCTCGAACCCTGGGTACAAACTAGGCAGGCGGATGACAACGAGGCAAGGAATGTGCAGGTTAAGGGGCCCTAGCCTACTCGAGCTCCCCTAGGGGCTCTGCCACGGCAAAGCAGTCCCCCAAAGCCATGTCGGCGTCGGGGGTATCCACAGGGGTGTGGGGGGCAGGGGAGGCTTCGTTAACTTTCGCCGCTTGGTAGGAACTGGGGTCCGCATTGAAGAGCCTCCTGGCCCCTGTGTCCGCAAGCAATTTCAGGAAGGTAGGGACTTCGGCGCAGGGGCAGCCATACGTCTCGACCGCCAGTGGGAAGAAACCAATGTAGGGGGCCCGGTTGCGGTAGTGGTAGATCTTCTCGTCAGCTTGCTCACGGGCCATGTACCCCCGCCTCTTCCGTGCATCCGGGTCCCGGCTGCTAATGGGGTCTGTGACGGTGACGTCGCAGATCCAGACGGCGCCGGAGCTGCGGTCGCGGATTGCGAGGTCGGCCTTGTGGCTGTCTACAGGATTGTCTCTTTAGTGACAATGAAGTCAGCATCCCGGGCCATCCGGATGCTCTCATTCCGCAGGGCATCGTGGGTGTCTGTCCGCCTGTGCCTGGTGCCACACCGAAAGAGGTGATTGGGCAGCCGTGTGTCTAGGATTTCGAATTCCTCGGCGCAGTTGCAGATGCGGGGGGCTGGGAACGGAAGGCCAAGGCGAAAGGCCAGGGCGATGGCAAAGTGTGGGGCTTCGAGACGGAGGGAGGGGAAGATGGGAATGGCATGGATCCAATCCTCTGCCCCATACCCAGCCAGAGAGAAGAGGCGTTGCGTGTGGCCAGAGTATGGGTTTGGATCCATTGCCCGCGATGCTGCCACTTGGTTGGCGTATCGCACGGCCTGAACCTTGAGGGACAGGCGGTGTTGGAGAGGGGAGCCCGAGGGTTCACCTCGCTCGGATTGTAGAAGCTCCAGGGCCCGCGGGGGCAGCGCAGATTCACATCTCGCCAGCCAGGTATGCTGGTGGGTGGGGCTGGCAAAGGGCGGTGTGAGGTGGCGCACCGCATCAGCCAGAGGCCCTCTGGTCATTGCTGGGAGGGCAGCAAGGAGGCCCTGAGCTTGGGTGACGCTGGTGAGAAAAGCCGGATGCCCTTCAACTACTGGATCGGTGAGGCCCAGCCCCTCGAGAGAGGGAGGGAGAGATGCCTGGGCCCAGGTACGCGCCAGCTCCGACTCGCCCCGTGGTGGCTGGAGGTTGCAGGCGCGTAGTAGGGTGTGAAACATTTCCCTGTGTGAGAGTACGACCCCGTTACACTAATTTCCCCTTTTCATATTTCCTTTCTATTTCATTCCTCTTTTTATCCTCATTCATTTGGTCTTTATCTCATCTCATTTGGTTTCCTATTCCTCATTTTCCATTATCCTTTGGTTTATCCTGTTATTATAATTATATCACCGCCCAGGCTCGGGATGTACTGGCGCGCTATATCTAGCGTAATCCTGCAGTAATCCCTTATAGCCAATAGCCTCGCGTGGCTATACGCATGGTGATTCTATTTCTAGAAGGGTCTATTTCCTTTGGATAGGATAAACGTGGTTACCTTATGTACTCTGGAAGTATAAAAGCACCTTGTACTGATTGATAGTGAAACATTGAGCAAACCTTTCCTCGGGACATTCGATCCTGTGACACTTGGTAATCAGAGCCAAGGTTTCAGCTCAACGCTTAACCGCTGGGCCCCCAGGAGCACGCCGAGGATGGAGTCGAAACTTCAATTCCAGTAAGTACAATGCACTTTCATTTAAGTTTCGACTCACCTCTTGCAGTTGCACCTGGGGTCCCCTTCGAAGGCGAGATGCCTCGCCAACCGTTCGATGTACTGCATCGACGGAGCCGATTTTTCGCGGGGGCAAACGGCCTCGACCTGGCGAGCTCGTCAGTTCCGGCGGAACACTCCCTGCGACATTCGGAGAAGTTCGCAGTTCGCGACAACACTTGGAGTTGCGCGGAACTCTGCGGAGGTTCGACCGACGACATCCGTCCGATGGAGATTCGACGCTTCAGATCGACCGAGGCGAGAACGAAATCCATCTGAGCGAGTTTGCGTTTCGGCGCGAATGGGAACGGGACCTCGCAAGCCGCGAAGTTTTCCGGAGCGTCCGATCGTTCGACAGCCGACATCGACGATTGAGAATTGCTGCAGGAAACGAGTCAACCCGGGCGCCGAAAGCTGCTGAACGTCACTCAGGAGTATACTCAGATCGCTTGGAGTTTGGACCGTCGGATCGACTTCTACTTCAACGGACGAGATGGAGCGCGACTTCTGCACGAAGGGAGAATGACGCGCAGAACCAGAAATTGGCCGCCTTCAACATTTGGACAACCAAATTCGGACTCCTCTATTTGGTGACGAATATGGTGCGCAAAATCATCTGCAGGGTCAGAAAACTGCCAGAGTATTACCTACTTGGTAATATCTGCATGCAGAAAAATGACAGGAGAACGTGGATCGTCAGATCGGTGCGGAATCAACGGCACGAATGCAGCAGAGACTACACTATGGGAAATCATCATCATGGAGACAACATTCGTGACCAGCGACAGCACAATCGACGCATCTTCTGACTGATGTCGATAACGATCGAGTTATTTTGACGAAGTCATCTTCGTTAAAAATGGATCGACATCAACACAGCGAGATCTTCACCCAGGAAAAACAATGGAGCTGCGTGAAGACATGTTCTCCATCCACGAGACACTTCTTCATACAAATTGATCGACAACCTATGGGATTGCAGAGAAGTAGCCGTTTTCTCTCGCAATGCTCCCAAGTTCAAGTTGCTGCGAAGGAGCAGATTTCGCACGCAACGACGACGCAGTGAACCCGTCTCGTCAAGGCCAGCGAGACACTACTTCGTAACAGGAGCTGAACGATTCGTCTTCATCAAGAATCTCAGCCATCCGAGGTGATTGATTGGAGCAGTCTCAACATCGACCTCACGAGGCGACACACCAATCATGCGTCGCGATTCCAGGTGTTAATGACCTGCGTGGAAGAAAATTCCGTGCACGTCACGATGCTTGACAGATTGAGGAGTAATTAACCTCTAATCCGGCAAGTACTCGCTCACTAGCGACCCTACGGCACATGCATTGGAGGCGATTCTACCAGAAGCCGAAGCGTTACAAGCATCAGCGTAACTTCGACGATGCAGGAGAACGTCAAGCAACACGAGGTGTCAACAAATGAGGGAGATGCAGACTACTACAACATGATCACGCGCTCTACCGACCGTACATCGGAGGCACGGATGAGCATACCAGGAATTGCTACCCGTGGATACATTGAGGGGAGAAGCAAATTTCTCTTCATACCCTCAAATGAAACAATCACCGGCAGCAATGGAGCAACACATGTGTACTACTGTGCACGTGTTCCTGGTAGTTACGCCTGTTACACCCATCAGGAACACTCTACTGGGAAGAGGGAGTTGATGGATTCTCCTTCAACCGGTACGAGTTGAGAGAATTCTCTGCAGCAGCTGCCGCCGTCGCCGTCGTCGCAACCGCCGCCGCCGCCGCAGCAGAAGACTCGACAGAACATTCATATCCAAACCCTGATGG